TTCTCCCACCGACACCAATGATTGGTCTCTATTCCTCCCACTAACACCAATGATTAGGCACCAGAGGCGGACTGACAACTCATGGGGCCCCCGGGCAATAGGGGATCATGGGGCCCTAATGTCCTTGCCCAAACTCAAAAAAGCTTATGAAAAAGGTACCAGGGACATCTCATGGGGCCCCCTACTGACCCTGGGCCCTCGGACAGTGCCGAGTTTCCAAATGGTCAGTCCGCCCCTGGTATGGAGTTTTTATGTTCTTGCTTTCCTTGTGTAAGTCTCCTACGCCTGCTCTAGTTTCCTCCAACACTCTCCAAACACATGCTGGTAGGTTAATTGTCTCCGATCTAAATTGGGGCTAGTAGGCTAAGTGAAGAGAGAGAGTTCAGAAATGGTCACTTGCTGTGGGGAGCAAAGACAAGTAGACTGGAGTTCAGAGCAAACTAGGATTGTAGCTGTCTCCTTCGTTTTCCCCCGTGAGAGAAATTGGAAATGCTATAATGACTGCATGCTAAATTCAGTTCAGAGCAGTGCTTTGTCCTTGGGTGAACAGTATTTGAGCATGGTTAGAGCTATTTGCTGAATAGTACACGACCACAAGTGAACTTTTCATAGTGGACTGAGTGCTTAAAAAGTGACCCTGCAAATTAGGACACTTTTTCTAAGTCCCTGATAGAAGTACATGTATGCAGCTCTAGGAGAAAAAACTTCTCCCTGATACCGCGAAGCTGCAGCTCTCTCTGTACAGTCCTGCTTCATTCTGATTTTATTTTCCCTATGTCTGAATATTTTATTTTCAATATACAACATACTTAAAACACTCTTAAGTACTATAATGGGGGAGGGGTGGATTGTGGGCCAGGTACATTCTGCGATGCTAAGGTCCCTATAACCAGGCCACATTGAGGGGAAAGCAGTTTGTGATTGTGCAAGAATGTGCAATAATGCATAAAAGGCTCAATTTTCAAAGCTAATACATCAGGAGGCAATTTATAAAGCAGTTACTGTATGCATATACAATGCTTTAAATTAAAAAAAAAATACTGCACATTTCTGAGACACTTGAATGTGTTTGCATTGCATGCATATTCCTCTACAAAACAAGCTCCTTACAAGGTCGATGTTTGTAACTCACACTGGAAAATTTTTCAATGTAGGTCCAGCTCACTTTTGGCTTGTTCACATTCTTGTCATACAAGCCCTGACAAAAGGGGGCGCTCTTGGACCCCCAAAACACATTGGATAGTTTTTAGATTGTACCCCTAACTTTTAATGGTAAAAAGGTGTAGCTGGACCTCTTAGCAGTGGTGTGGCACTTCAGTTCCAATTTTGGTACATTACACTAAAAGCCAAGGAGACTCTGGAGATCCTCTGGGGTGTAGAACATGCCTGCCTGGAAAACAGATCACTTATGAGATAACCCTACAGGTCCAGCACTGTCTTTCCACTTTACTGCACTGTGATGAGGTCATATGGTGCTCTCTCCTCTTTTAAGTATGTTGTCAAACTAACAGCACTGTATACATCCATAGAGCTCTGAGTGCTGGACCTTCATCTACCAGTGACACTGCTGTTGTACACAAGGCCGTCTTTAAGGAGGGGCAAATTCATTGCTGTGGGGCCCAAAGCAGCTGACCCATACTTGCCAACTGTCCCAGTTTACATTTCTTTGTCCCTTGAAGTCTTTGTTCCAGGGCTGTGTCCCGATATCTCAATGTGAAGTGCCGTCACTTATACTGTCCAGCTCTGCCCTATTGCCATGTACAAATGACTCTTGTGCAGACCATGTCAGCATTCACATGCAAATATCCGGCATTCATATATAAATAGTGGTAGAATTTATATGTAAATAGGCCAGCAATGTGGCATTCATATGTAAATAGCGCTCAGTGTGGAAGCCTCCCTTTGTGGTCCATGCTGAAGCCCCCTTAAGTTGGTGGTCAGTGTAAATTCTGCCTTACCTTGACAGTCAGTGTAGAAATTTATTGGTTGTTGGTGTAAAATTCCTCATTCCATTGGTTGTCAGTGTGAAATCTTCACTACATTGGTGGTCCATTTTATTGGTGGTCAGGGTATATTTCCCTTTACATTGGTGGTAAGAGCAGAATTGCCCTTAGACTGTTAGTTTAAATCCCCCCTTACATTGATCATCAATAAATCCCCCCTAACATTGGTGGTCAGTGTAGAAATGACACCACCCATCCAGCACTGCCACTGATCTCATCCACCCCCCAGCACTTCTACTCATCCCATTCCCCCAAGTGCTGTCACTGATCCCATCCCCCACCAGCACTGTAACTCATCCCATCCCCCTAGCACTACCATTTATCCCATCCCCCCCACCACAGCCACTGATACCATAGTAATAATGTGCTGTACCATCTAGCAACCAATCAGTGAGCAGTAATGATTTACAGTAACCTCTAGCAACCAAACAATGAAAAGTAGTGATCTGCTGTAGACGCGAACAACCAATCAGTGAACAATAATGTTGTGTACTAACCTTTAGTAACCAATTAGTTAGCAGTTATAATGTGTAGTAAACTCTAGCAACCAATCAGTGAGCATTAATGATGTGCAGTAACTTCTAGCAGCCAATCAGTAAGCGGTAATGATGTGCAGTAACCTCTAGCAACTGATCAACTGTGTGGTAAAGATGTGCTGTAACCTCTAGCAACCAATGGGTGAGTGGTAATGATGTGCAGTAACCTCTAGCAGCCAATCAGGAAGCTCTAGCAACCAGTCGGTGAGCGGTAATAATATACTGTAACTTCCGGCAACCAATTGCAATCACTGCCAGATCTGCTGCAGTAAACTCATTTTGAGTCTAACTGCTATTTTTTTGTATGTCTCAAAGCAGGTAGAGAGTGAATTTGCATGGGGGTTGGGGTGCTCAAGAAAAAGTTTGCCCAGGGTCCAATCAATATTAAAGATGGCCCTGGTTGTGCAGATGATTACAAGAGTCCGTTATCAAAACAGGTTCAGGTACATTTGCTAGTTCTATGTAAAGATACATGTCATGATTTTTTTTTCAATAAATACATAACACAATTACGTACGTTTTTAAATGTCTGTATATAGTTCAGCTTTAAAAATGCATTGTTGCCATCCTTTCTTTTTTACCTTGTCAATCACTAGCCCAGAACAAGTACACAGCCAATGTAGTCAGAATTCCCTAATTCCGCAAAATCTATTTCAAGTTGGGGCTTCTCAAATACAAAGGGAAAATTAAAGGATAAGTTCACCTTTTGGGTACATGTTGCATGTTCCACCTGTTTTTATGGTGGAACATGTAACATGTTACCATAGCCGCACTGCCACCCCTACCTCCCTTTGACAGATAGTACAGGTAGAAGTCTCCCCGTACTATCTGTTATATTTTAAAACAGCGCTGCCATGCGGGGCTTCGCATACACGGCTGAGTCATTCATTCACGGACTTCCATGAATGAATGAACTGCAAGTCCCGGCAGCCTTAGCGGCTGTCAGCGTATAGTTTTCAATGAACTACCATGATGCTGTGGAGCCCTGTGGTAGTTCATGAAGGTAGGTCAGAACATCTGCTTGGTCATACATCCCGTACGGCAAGCAGGTATTCTGACAGGTCTGCAGGAGACCTGCATGGCGTCAGCATCTACTGATCACTGGTGCAATGCTTTCCAGGCTCCTGTAGACAAAAATAATAAATGCACATTTTTTTACCTGCAAAAAAATGTGCATTTATTATTTTAGTCTAAAAGGTGAACTTATCCTTTAATGTAATAGCTTTGCAGCTTACAGTTTCCAAAACAAGAAAAAAACAGCTTCCATATTTACCTCCAGTTTCCCATCAGGAAACCTTACACACATAGTCCCAGCCTTAGACAGGTACCAGTGCATATTGATTCATTGACCATGGCGTAGTTCCATGAGAGATAATTTGTTCCATTTGTTCAGCAAGCTGTACTGGGTCACTAAATGAAAATTACATAACACGAATAGATTGGTTTACTGTATATATAAGAGAGTTTTGTAATAATGACCATTAGTAGTGATGAGTGCAACTGAGAGTTTTCATTTCTCCAAAATTTCAGGAAACATTTTTGTTGAAATATTTGGGTGGTTTTTAGCAGTGGGCTTTTAAAGGTTTCTGAGGGTTACAGAAGCTCCTTTAAAATATCCTAGACCTAGACCAGCCTTTCTCAACCCGGGTGCCCTGGCACCCGGGTGCCTGGCAAAATATCTAAAAATTGAATAAAACTTGTATACAAGCCAGCGGGTGGGACAAGACTGCCTTTTAGTTAAACAAAGCCACAGGTTTTCATTCTGCACCATTACAACCTTCTAGCCGCAGATGTCCTGACAACCAATGACATCATCAGTTGATAAAGGAGGATGTCAGCTGCCTGCACAGCATCCTAGTTTGACCCTCCCCTGCCCCTCTCCATCAGTGCTGGGGTCACATTAGCTCAGTGATGGAGAAAAACTGAGGGAGAGGAGAAACACTGGAATACTACTCAGTACCAGTGTGCAAAAGTGTATTTGCTTTGGAAGAATAAATCCCCTCTAATTTTGGGTGTCCTACTTGTGTGGATGTTGCTGCATTATATAAAAGTATTAGAATAGTTTTTCACATTTTAGAATAGGGTGCCTCAGCACTGTCCATAATTTTAAAGGGTGCCTCAGCACTGTCCATAATTTTAACCACCTCCCGCCCACCATATAACGAATTGATGGGCGCAAGGCAGTTCTCTCGTTCTGGGAGGACGTCATATGACGTCTTACCACTCTAGCCGCGCGCGCGCACGGCTCTGGGGGCGTGCAGTGTGTGGCAATTTGTGGTGCTTCTTTCGGAAGACGTCGGCTAAGTCATGTGATCAGCTGTGTCCAATCACAGCTGATTGCATGTAAATAAGGAAATGCCAGTTATCGGCATTTCTCTCCTCACGAGCTGTCACGCTGACAGCTCAAGAGGAGAGGAGAGCCGGTAATCGGCATTCCTCAGAGGGGACATGGGCACTGATCATCAGGGTACTGAAGATCAGTGTGCCCTGATGATCAGTGTAGCCCCAGCAGTGCCACCTGTCAATGTCAATCAGTGCCAGCTGTCAGTGTTCATCAATGCCACCTGCCAGTGCCCATCAGTTCCACATCAATGCCACAAATCAGTGCCTACCAGTGCACATCAATGTCACATATCAGTGCACATCTGAGCTGCCTTTCAGTGTCACCTATCAGTTCCCGTCAGTGCTGCCTATCAGTGCTAGTCAGTGCCACCTATCAGTGCTGTCTATCAGTGCCATATATGAGTGCTGCCTCTCAGTGCCCATCAGTGATGCCTGTCAATGCACATCAGCGCCACCTACCAGTGCCTCCTCATCAGTGCTCATCAGTGCAGCCTATCAGTGCCCATCACTGCAGCCTCATTAGCGCACATCAGTGAAGGAGAAAAATCACTTATTTACAAAATTTTATAACAAAAACACATTTTCAGTTGTTTTCGGTTTGTTTAGAAAAAAAAAACCAGAGTTGATTAAATACTACCAAAAGAAAGCTTTATCTGTCTCAAAAAAATGTCACAAATTTCATATGAGTACAGTGTTGCATGACCGCGCAATTGTCATTCAAAATGTGACAGCGCTGAAAGCTGAAAACTGGCCTGGGCAGGAAGGGGGTATAAGTGCCCTGTAGGCAAGTGGTTAAAGGGTGCTTTGACTGAAAAAAGGTTGAGAAACACTGACCTAGACCCATGCTTGTGCCAAAAACGGTCTCACAATTTTTTACATGTTTAAATATTTTGCCTCAATTAGAAAAGTTGAGTTTCCACTGGGGCAAAATTATTTTCACCCAAACCCCTTCGTTCATCAGTGTCAATGTAAAAGATTATCAGAACAGAAGATATTTAGCATTAAGATCCCATGGACACATACGTTCATTAAGTTCAAATGTGGTTTCTTGAAAGAGACATTGTCACCTTGCCCATGGAGGACAAATTGACAGTGTCATTGCAAATCTCCCCCACCCCAGAATACCCTACACTTACCTTACCAGTACACCCTCAATGTTTCCTTGCTCCTCTGCAGCTGGCAACAATACTGTGCACTTTTGTGTTAATTATTTATTTATTTCAGGTACTTACATAGAGCCGTCACTTTACGCAGCGCTTTACACATATATATTGTACATTCCCATCAGTCATGGCATGGGACCTCCTTTCCCATGACCCTGCTCACATTTGGCTTCCAATCTCTATAGGCCAGAGCACATGAGCAGGGGAGTGACGTCACCACTCCTCTACTTCATCAACACCAGTCTTTTAGCTGCAGAGGAGCAAGGATTAGAGAAGGAGTGCTGGCAAAGTGAGTATAGGAACAATCAGAGGGGTCTTTGCAGACACACTTTCACTTTGCCTTGCATGGGCTAGATGACTATGTCTCTTTAACCACTTGCCCCCCTGAGGATTTACCCCCCATTCCTGACCAGGCCATTTTTTGTATTACGATGCTGCGTTACTTTAACTGACAATTGCGCAGTCATGCAACGGTGCACCCAAATTAATTTTATCTCCTTTATTTCCCACAAATAGAGCTTTCTTTTGGTGGTAATTGAGCGCCTGTGCGTTTTTATTTTTTTGCGCTATAAAAAAAAAAGGTAAACAATTTTGAGGAAAAAAAAAATATTTTTGAATTTTTGCTATTAACACCTTCCCGTCTGGCCTATAGCAGATTGACAGCCAGGCTGGACACTCCTCGTTGTGACTGGGCTTCATATGATGTCCTGTCAAAACGAGTCGCTCACGCAGCCGCAGGGCCAAGCAGCAGCACAATCTGTCACCGGCCACACAGCCGATGACATCACTACACCGGCCCGTTGCCAGTGTCATGCGACCGATGTGACCAATCACAGCAGATCACATGTAAATTGTATACAATGGATGGCTTTCTGTCATGCCATCCATTGTATACAATTATGTTGTTAGCTGTGACTGGTCAAAGCAGTCACATGATACAGACAGGGCAAATCACAGCCCATCTGCATCATGTGATGAATTTTTTCCCAATCACAGCTAATCACAACAAAAGACTGAATGAATCAGTTTCATTCAGTAACAATGATTGCAAATAGCAATGAAATACATTGGTATTAGCAATCATAATGTGTTAAAAAAAAAAATACTGATCACTTTGCAGAGTAGTTCAATGTGACTATGGTAACATTGTATTGCTTTGGTCACAGTGTGATGAAAAAAAAATAGTAAAAAAAAATAAAAATAAAAAAAAAATTGAAAAATTTGAAAAAAAAAAATATAAATTAAATGATTTTTTTAAAATTTTTTTTTACATACTGTCACAAGTCATTGTCTCTGATCCCGCCACACCAGTTATATAATAACGCTGTACTGGACTGGTGACAAAATGTAAAAAGAAAAATAAAAGTTGTGATTTTTTTTTCTAATTTCTACATTTTCCAAAATATTGTAACAAAAATTACAACCTCCAAAAACTCAATATGCCTCTTACTAAATACCTTGAACTGTCTATTTTCCAAAAATGGGTGATTTGGGGGGTATTTGTACTATCCTGGTGTTTTGGGGCCTCAAAAAAATTAGATGGGCCATCAGTACATCAAGATTGATCAATTGTCAGATATATACCATGGTTTGTGGACTCTATAATTTTCCTACAGACTAAATAATATACACTAATTTGGGGTATTTTCACCAAATAAATGTAGCAGAATACATTTGACCTAAATTTATGAAGAAAATGTTATTTATTTGCAAAATTTTATAACGGAAACAAAGAAAAATGATTTTTTTTCAAAAGTTTTTTTTTAATTTTATTTAGCATCTCAATAAAAAATTTTGGGGGTGCAAAAACAAATTTTGGGTAAAAAATCGTAGAGTATGTAAATTTGTTGATAGGTTTGTTCATTGTTAAAAAAAAAAAACATGTATTTATTTGTTACTATGGTGTTTTGAAGCAAAAAAAAAAATTAGTAAAAATTGATCAATTTGTGCAGTGTTTCATTCAAAGTCGGCGATAATTTTCCTACAAAAAAAAAAAAAAAAAAAAAAAAAAAAAAAAAAAAAAAAAAAAAAAAAAAAAAGAAAAAAAAAAAAAAAAAAAAAAAAAAAAAAAAAAAAAAAAAAAAAAAAAAAAAAAAAAAAAAAAAAAAAAAAAAAAAAAAAAAAAAAAAAAAAAAAAAAAAAAAAAAAAAAATAATAACAAAAAAACAAAGAAACATTGGGGTAATTTTTTTTCACAAAAAAAAAAAAAAAAAAACAAATAAATGTTAAAAAAACCTAAATTTAAATGAAGAAATGTTATCAGTTTTAGGTGATTAAATTTTACCACCAAAAGAAAGCTCTGTTTGTGTGAAAAAAATTATAAAAATTTCATATGTGTGCAGTGTTCATTCAAAGTGCGACAGCGCTGAAGTGCGACAGTGGAAAGCTGAAGACTGGCCTGGGCACGAAGGGGGTAACAGTGCCCACTATTGAAGTGGTTAAACATGTCCAGTAAAAAAATTTAAAAATCAAATTTGTCATATATTTAGGCCAAAATGTATTCTGCTACATTTCTTTGCTAAAGAAAATCCCAATATGTGTAAATTAATTGGTTTATGTGAAAGTTATAGCTTTTACAAATTGTGGTATATATACTGGGATTTTTTTTTTTTTTACTAGTAATGGCAGCAATCAGGGACTTATAGGGAGACTACGGGACTGCGGTGGGCATTCTGACACTGGGTGGAACTGACTTGGTATCACTGATATCCCCAGTGACACCAATACAGTGATCAGTGCTAATAAAAAGCACTGACACTGTACTAATGGCACTGGGTAGGAAGGGGTTAACATGTGGGGTGATCAAAGGGTTAACTGTGTGCTGTGTGCTGTGTTCTGTTTTACATAGTGGGCTGTGTCTGTGTTTCACTGTAAGCACAGCCATGCAAAGCAGTGTGCAGGAGCTGACATGGGAGACAACTGTATTGTTTATAAACAGTTCTTCCCCCCCCCCCCCTCGTGGGAGATGCTCTGTAATCACAGGGCGCTGGCAAAATCACGGGCTGGGACCGTGATTGACAGCCGAAGTCGTAAATGGCAGTGCGGCCCCTGCCTGCAAATGCAAGGTCACGTATATATACATGATTTTGTGCAACCATGCCGCCCTGCATATACAATACAAACAAAAGGTTAAATAGTGCAGAAATGCATCAAACTGCAAGAGAAAAAAACAACCTACGAAGGTCTACATTTTTAAATTGTGACCTAAGGTAGTAGGGACTGATATTTTCAGACACAACTGATTTCTGTCTAATAATATAGGACAGTGGTCTCCAAACTGCGGCTCGGGGGCCAGATGTGGCCCTTTGTTTGCCGTTATCCGGCCCTTGGGGCACACTTCCTCCCACTGACACCAACATTGGGGCATAATTCCTGTCACTGATATCAACAGTTGAGTACTATTCCTACCACTGACCCCATCAATGGGACACTATAGTTCTCACTCACACCAATGATGGAGCATTTTCCCACCACTGACACCAATGACTGGGCTCTATTCCTCCCTCTGACACCAATGATTGGGCTCTATTCCTTCCACTGACACCAATGATTAGGCATGATTCTTCACACTGATATCAGGGATGGGGCAGTATTCCTCCCACTGACACCGATGATTTGGCTCTATTCCTTCCACTGACACCAATGATTGGGCTCTATTTCTCCCCACTGTCACCAATGATTGGGCTCTATTCCTCCCACTGACACCAATAATTGGGCTCTATTCCTCCCACTGACACCAATGATTAGGCATGATTCTTCACACTGATATCAGGGATGGGGCACTATTCCTCCCACTGACACCGATGATTTGGCTCTATTCCTTCCACTGACACCAATGATTGGGCTCTATTCCTCCCACTGACACCAATGATTGGGCTCTATTCCTCCCACTAACACCAATGATTAGGCATCATTCTTCACACTGATATCAGGGATGAGGCACTATTCCTTCCTCTGAAACCGATGATTGGGCTCTATTCCACCCACTGACACCAATGATTAGGCACCAGGGGCGGACTGACAACTCATGGGGCCCCCAGGCAATAGGGGATCATGGGGCCCCTGTGTCATTGCCCAAACTCAAAAAAGCCTATCAAAAAGGTACCAGGGGCATCTCATGGGGCCCCCTACTGACCCCGGGCCCCAGTTTCCAAATGGTCAGTCCGCCCCTGTTAGGCACGATTCTTCACGCTGATACCAATAATGGGGCTTTGTTTGCTGCCATTTACGTCAGGGCATTTTCTACTCCCACTGGCCACAGTCAGGCCCCCACAAAGTCTGAAGGACAGTAAACTATCCCTTTGTTTGGAAAGTTTGGAGACCCCTGCTATGGGAGAAAACTGTCATCAGTTTGTGCAAAATTTTGTCTAACAAGACCGCTAACAGAGCAATCCTATTTTATTATGCATCTTTGCAAATAAGTATTGTGCATTATGTGCATGCATAGAAACATGGTTTTCAAGTACT